GAGGTCTCGCTGCCCAGGCGGGTCTCGAACCCGCGGGCTCAGGCAATCCACTCACCTCAGCCTCCCAAAGGCGCGGGATTACAGTCTGAGCCACCAAGCCCGGCTTATATCACATTATTTGTGATTGACTTATTTCTATCCAATCTTATTTCAAAATATTCGCAAGGTGGCTGCTTCCTTCTATAATGAAATTAACTAATGCTTTTAATTTGCAGAAGTTGAGGTGAAAGGGACCTCAAAACCTCGAAAGCCTATTGTGACAGCACACGTTCGAATTCCAGAGGCAATATGCATGTCCTTGCATGTAGTAAAACTTGGCTTCTTTTATAGCTACTGAGTTTTTCATTCATTCAAATTGTTCTCGCCCTCGTCATGCATTAGCTAATTCTTACCACTAGGTGGAAGCAAAAGCCAACATGCAGAGAATCTGAAATCAGGTTATTTCTTTAAATAAAACATCGACTCCCTGTTCCTGGAGCAAAGCCCATCTTCATAAGGGAACTTCGTGGGGAGGTGGGCAGCTTGGGTGGATATGCACTTCTGTGGGCTTTGAGCAGGGACAAGGCCCCAAGTTCTTGGGGCATGGAAGAGTCTGTCTACCTCCTGGTCTGAGACCCAGGGCTTAGGCAAAATAAAATAAAATAAAATAAAGCCATCACTGGGGAAAGAATGAGAAATCTAGTCCCCACCAGGGCTTGGAAACAGCCTGGTCTGCTCCCTCCCCCTCCATTCCCCAAGTCTCTTTCTTTGAGATCCCCAGGTGGGGGTGGAGAGGAGAGAAGTGGGGTGCACTTCCTGGGAAACAGGAAGAAACTTCCTCTCTGCAATCCTGTAGAGAGGCACCTTCCCGTTCACCCCATCTCCAGCCCTCACCATCTGTGGCCAGTGACCCTAACACTCACCAGCCTGTGTGGACTTCCTCCGTGCCTTCTTGATGTCCTCCTCTGTCTTGTTGCTCAGCTTGATCTCCAGCTGCTGCGTCTTCATCTCCAGGTCCCTCTGCCGCTCTGTGAGGGCTTTCCGGGCCTGGGGTCCAACAACACGGAGAAGCTGTCCACAAAGCTTGAAGCCAGGGTCCACATGGGCCACACGGCCCGGGCTCCCTTTTCTCCATAGGAGTCCTTGATTTTTCTCTTTGTGTGGGTGCTGTCACAGTGGCTCAGAGGGGCCAACCAGCCAGAGGGAAACCACAGAGACTCCAACCTGGATCTTGTCATCCCTGTCTCTTCCAGTGACATCTGGACTCAGCCTCAATCAATCTCTCAGACCATATTTTCATTGGGGCATATACCCATTGGGGTTTATGCCTCTTGGGTTGGAAGGAACCACAAAGGTCACCTGTGTCACCTCCCAGCAGTGCTTAACAGGCTGGAAGCATCAGATGCCCCATATTCCAGAGCAGGGTGCCTACAGCAGTACAAACCTGCTTATCCTCTCTGTGGCACTTTGGGGTTAGCACTCTTCCCCCCAGGGCTGGCAATCAGCAGCTCCCTGAGGTGTGACCACCCACAGCCTTGCCTAGTCGCTGAGCAAGAAGGAGGGAAGGGAGAAGGGCCATGAAGGTAGGAGAGACTCTGTTAGGTAAGGCCCAGATGCAGGGACCACACATGGACCAACAGCACATTCAGGCTCTGGATCCCCAAACCACGGGTTGAGTTCGTCTACAGTGCCTCCACTGCAGCTGCAGCCTCTCCACACTACCCTTGGCCCTCTGGGCAGTCGTCTGAGCACCACAGGGAGGCAGCTCCTATCTGCCCCTTGGATGGGTTGGGGTCCTCAGGCATGGGCACGAGGCTAAGAACTCCCCCCTGACCAGTCCAGCACAGGGACAAAGGCCCCACCTTGGTGTATGGAGCCACTGATGGCTTCCCGGCCCATCCTCTTCCAGCAGGCCCCTGCACGTCACCCCCCCACCCCCCACCCCAAGTCCGGCATGCTAGGCCTTTCACCTTCTCCACCGAGGCATAGCGGCTGGCGAGCTGCTTGCGGAGGTCAGCAATGTGGTGGTCACACTTTTTCATGTCTTTCTTGAAGTTCTCACGAAAGTTCATCAGAGGCTTCTCCACCTCGCTGTGAAGCTGTGGAAGAGGGTAGAAGCCCACTCAGGACCCAGGGCATCGGCTGCGAGGGGCGAGGGGGCACCCTCCACCTCCCCTGGCAGGTGAGGATGGGTCTGGGGCAGTGGCCTGGCAGGAGGGCAAGAGACCCTCCTCCCCTCCATAAGAGACTGTTTATTACATCTCCATCTAGGCGTCACCTCAGCCCAGGAGGCCCCAATGCCTATCTACAGGATAAGTGGCTCGTGTCTAGATCTTTCTGATCCCCCTGCCAGCTAACTCTCTCCTCTAAGCTTCCACAGTGGCATCTTTTTTATTTTATTTTTTAAAGTTTTAAAACTCCTATATTTATGGTGTATGTGTGATATTTTGAACTATGTCTACATGGTGGGATGGCTACATTAAGTTAGTGAACGTATCTATGACCTCACAAACTTATTGGTATTCCACAGCTTTGCCTGGGAGTCTCTCTCCCTTACCTCCCAAACTAGGAGTTTTCTGGAGGCAGAAATCATGTCATCATCTGTGTTCCTGAACACTTAGCATAGTGACTGCTGTATGTAGCTCAATAAATAACTGTGGAACAGATGCCATTCAATTAGATGGCTTCGGCTAAGTTCGACAAATGGAGCATCTGCTGCATGCCAGGTGACCTGGACAGGGTCCAGTCCTTGAGGAGTTCATGGTGGGAACTGCTTGAGGTCGTCTGGAAACTCCCAAGGGCAACTCTCTTGCGTTTTCTCAACTCGCTGGGCTGAATGGGGCACAGGATGGGGCACAGGCACCATACCCATCCCCACCAAAGGGAAACACCCCTGAATTCCTAGGGCCAGAGAAAAATTCATGCCACGAGAGGACAAGTCTCCAAGATTTTTTTCCTCTTGTGTTTCCTTCCCTCTTTCCTACCCACCCCTTTTTAAAAATAACTTTTCCTTAAAGCATCCTCTTTTTGGTTCTGAGCATGAAATCTATTTTATAAGAAAACAGATCCATGTGGCCCTGCTCTGGTGAAAGCCAGGTGGGCAGCCTAGCACTGCATCCTCCCCTCTCGACTCAGCCTCCCAGGGTCACTCCCTCCTTACTTTGACCTATGGTCCCCCAATTCAGCCTTCATCTGTCCCAGAGGTGCCTCTGGAATACACAGCCCAACTTCTCTGGCCAGATGACATCCCTGCTTTGAGCTTCTGTGACTTCCCTCCTTTACCCAGGTTTTTGCTACATGGTTCAGTGTCTTCTCTGGAGACCAGCAGGACTTAGGTGTTCCAATTCTAGGCTATAAGCTCCAAGCAGGCAGGGACCTCATCTGACTTGGCCACTGCTGTCCTCAGCGTCTGACCAGGGTTGGTGTGGGAAGGGTGCCCCTTCTCTATTTGTAGAGAGAATGACAAACTCTTCAGTGCTCAGTCACCCAGGTGACAAGAAGACAGCTTTGCTGTTGGATGCCATTCAACATGAACAGAGAGCTGGCCATCCAAACACCCCTTTCCTCCTGACAATAGTTGTAAATGCGTATTCTTGGGTCTCTTTTGAGTTCCTGGAACTTCTGTTGAATAGGAAAACATCTCCATCTGGTGGCAGTTTGTAAGATGCTACAGAAGACCTCATGAGAATGAGTAAATCCCTTTGCCACATACAGTAGATTTGGCATTTGCCAAATAGCAGGATCTCCACAGCTTAGCTGTGTAGAAACTTCTCCTGACTGAGGGTCTACGAGGGACAACTCAAGTTTGTTGACTTAGAAACTCTGAAGTCCCTAAGGACCTGGAAGGCAAGTGACTGTTAGACTTTCATGTGCCCAGGAGTGACTTGGAGGAGTTTTCTAACATGAAGGGTTCCTGGGCCCCAGCCCCAGGTTCTAATAAGGCGTTCCCCAAATTCAAATGACATAATGGCATAATTCTGGGAACATAATGCTACTAGTTGTCATAACCGATTCAATTCCACAGATGAAGACCCATGGATTCTCTATCTCTCTACAGATATTAAGTACTTTTTAAAGACACACATTTTTGTTCTTTAAAAAAGTTAGCTTGGCATCTTTTCATAACTCATTGTTAACTTTTAAGCATCTTTGTTTAACTGTGAGTTAGAAGTTCCTCCTGAAAGTGTGCCTCTGTAGACCTTTGGGTTGGCCTGTCTCATACCAAACAGGCCTGGTCACTGGAGCCCCTCAGCTTGCCTTCCCCAAACTCCTGCTCTCTTTGACTCCTTCCCACCTCACACACCAGAAAAGAATAAGAGACACCCTGAGCTGGAAGGAATTTCAGAGATGGCCTGGGGTTAAGTGTTTCTCGAACAATGGGTGGCCAAGAATTGTGAAGTCAATTTAATGGTTCAGGATCAGTTTTGTGGTGAGAATAGACAAGACCTGAGTAGAAAATACCAGAGCATATTTTAGGGAGAAGGATAAATACTGTTTCATGACACATTTATTCTGCTACACACATGCATGAATATCTATATGTGGTCATAGAAGTGGAGGCATGTAATACTGTGTGTTCTGAGTGCCCATGTAATATTATAAGTCACCATCAAGTAAGTCTAAAGTTGTTTATCTGGTCCAAACTCTTCATTTCACACATATGGAAATGCAACCCCAGGGGCACTAAGTGACTTGCCCAAGAGCACAGAGCTTGTTAGCACTGAAATAAAACTCATGTCTCCTGAAACCCCTGCCCTGCAAAATCTTCTGACTGAATGCATTGGCCTATACAGCACAATTTAGATTTTCTCCCAGCGGAAGGAGAAAATTCTCTCTTCCCTTCTTCAGTCAGGTATAACTTCTTTTGTATAGAGCAATCTTATTTCTTTAGCAACCTGCAGCAATGGATTGAGCTGGCAGAATAGAAAAACCAGAAAAATTGCCATAACAAAATTGCATTTCTTAAGGAGCTCTTATTCCTGACACAGAACCCTCAGAGCAGAATTTCAATAAGCCTTTTGGAGCAGACACTAAAATGGGGTTTGAGTATATGGAGCCTATCATTCAAGGCAGACAAGTAAATCCTTCTCCTTCTTCTCCAGGAAACTCCATCAAACCACTAGACTGCTATTAGGATCGCTGGAGGCCACCAACACTGACCGGTAGGCTGAAAAAAAAGGAAGTTCTTGCAGAAGTCTGTGTTGTATGACCTGCCTTCATAAGCTTCCTGTCAGCTGAATGGTGAAGTCCACCCTGCCTCCTGAACACTGACTTACAGTGTTCTGAATATTTGGTGGCATGGGGTCAGCCTGCACTGCCCTGTTGGCATCCCCTGGGAGGACAGTGTGTCCCTCAAGAACAGGGCTGTGCAGTTTAAATGCCACTGATCTGCCCAAGAGAGGTCGTTGTCAGAAAAAAAAAAAATGCCTAGGGATCAAGTCGCCCATTTGCTTAGCCTTCTTTGCTTTTTCCACGGCTGAGTCCACTCGGCTGTGTGACCAGGGGCTGCGATTTCACCTCTGGTCCCTTCTCATTGTGAAACAGAGATGCTGTCCCACATAGTAGTTGATGATGATGAGTTATATCCTGCATGTAACCATTCTGAACATTTATGTCACCACTACAGCATTGCAGAGTGTTTTGTCACCTGTTGCTGAATATTCTAAACAATTGAGAATGCCACCAGGATTCCTGGGGACCTGGCAGGCGGCCTTTCAGAAGCTTGCAGCCCCACTACATAAGAACAGCAGCCTTCCCATGTATCTCACCAGTCAATGGAAGTTTCTGCCACGGCAGAGAATGGAGCTACTAGGGGCTATCACAGGGGAAGGGAGACCTTGCGGGGAAGACTGCTCATGATTGCAGCTTAAAATAACTTACTGCTTTGTATGCAAAGCAGGAAAGAGACCAATTCATGGAGTTCCCTTCTCTGCCAGGGTCTGAGTAGTAATTTTCTTATGGAGTGTTTGGTAGAATGAGGTCCGTGAGCGTGCCTTTATTAGCCAGGAATTCTCACTCACATCTGGGTGTCTACTCAATCTTGGGGCACGAACCTCATTTAGACATGGGGAGCTACAATGGCACTGATCCCTCCTCCTACCCAGCTCTTCACGAAGCCCTCCCACGCGTCTCGGCCACTTGAGTCATGCATTCTGCCTTCTATGTGCAGAGCAGATAGGTGGGATGGGGTGGAGGACCTTGGGTACAATGACACTCCTGTCCTCTGAGGGTGTACACCCAAAGGGAACCCAAAGCAGGGAATTGCAACTGCAGTGGGAATAGCTAGAAAAGAGATGGGCCCAGTGAGTGCTGAATGCAAAAGCCTGTGGCAGGAGCAACTACTAATATCTTCGGGGATGCTACCTTCAGAAAGTAAAGAAAGTATTTAAAGATGAGGGGCTCACAGAGTTTAAGCACTTTGCCCTGTTGTGTGTGACTGGAGACAGTGGGAGGGCAGAAAGAAGGGAGGGTAGGCCAGGTCGCCAGGATGGTGACACTCTCAAGGGTCTCTCTTCCTTTAAAAGGCAAGCATGCTAATGGGTAGGTAACCCTACCAGTAATGCACACCTTAGTATGAATTATTTCACTGAGATATTTAGCTTATTTTTCACCTAAAAAGTAGCTGAGAGTAAGAGAGGGAAGATATGAGCCTGGAAGTGAGGTGGAGAGGGACATTTGAAAACACAGAGAAATCTTGAAAGTAGACTTGAAATAACAGGGGGTGGGAGGAGACAGTCAGAGGGCTCCATTCATTCATTACTTCAGAAAGTATTTATTAAACATCTACTACATGCCAGACACCATCCTAAGCCCTGAGGGTAGGACAGAAACATCCCTGTCCTCAAGCAAGTCCTAGTATTTAGAACCAAATGAAGAAGGGTCATTTAATTGTTCTGAAATTCTGAAATAAAAACAAATAAAACCAAAAAGTTCTCCCTTTGGCATAGTCTAGTATTTCCTGACACCAAGAAGAGATAGAACGTGCCTATGTGTTCCTTTAAAAGCTGGGCAAAGAGAGAATATAGGCTTTCATCACTCAGGGGTTCACCTGAGAAGCTGGGGAGTGCTTAGTCTGGCTCACAATGGCTCCCAAGAGCTAAATGTTAAATTCTCAGGAATTTCATGTGCTAGTTGTTAAACACAGCCATTATGAAAAACAAAATCAGGCTGGGCATGGTAGCTCATGTCTGTAATTTCAGCATTTTGGGAGGCTGAGATGGGAGGATTGCTTGAGCCCAGGAGTTCAAGACCAGCCTAGGCAACATAGTGAGACCTCATCTCTACAAAAAAGTCAAAAAATTAGCTGGGAGCAGTGGTATGCTCCCATAGTCCCGGCTACTCAGCAGGCTGAGACGGAAGGATCTCTTGAGCCCTGGAGACTGAGGCTGTGGTGAGCCATGATTGTGCCACTACACTGCAGCCTAGGCAACAGAATGAGACTCCAACTAAATAACAACAATAATAAACAAAAGAATATAAACTTTTAATAAATTATTAAGACAAAGGTAATAAACACCTAGCACTTATGACTTCCTAACTACATGTGATTATTACCCATGCTCTTGGTGGATACTGAGTTGTCTGCATTACTCTATCTGCATGATAAGAACACTGTCTCATGGTGTGCTATTGTACTTTTCTCCCTAATTCTGTTCTCAGTGATTTCATGTTGGTAGCTTGAAATTTACACCGGGGAAAATAGCAAACACAACAAACCAGATAAACAGCTGTTAACCATTTATCAGCACCCCATTGGGTAGGACAAACCCAGAGAGGCTACAAGGGAGGGTTGGTTACCTTGGCAGAGAACTTGAGGTGAACTTCTGCCTCATCAGCGAGGCTCTTCTTCACCTGGGCCCACGCTTCTCCCAGGGAGCTGCAACACGAAAGAGGCTGTCAGACTCTGGGGATTCCAGTGGGAGTTGCACCGACGTCAGGTCAGAAGCCTCAGCACTTCCCGAGGCAGAGTTCAACCCCATGTCTCCAGGAGATATATAACACCCAAGGTTTTGGACTTAGGTGAGGCAGAGGCCAGGTTCAAATCAAACATGAGCATCATGTCTCAGCCCACAGGGCCAGAAGAGCCACTAAGGCCAGGGTGAGCCAACCCTACCTCTGGAGCTAAGAGAGCAGACTGTGGCAGACAGCCGAGTGGCTGGGGAAACATCCAGGAACCCGGAGGCTCCCAAGGACAGGAGCAGATGCAGGAAGCAGGTGGGGGTAGTTCCAAAGCCCCTGCTACAGTGAGAGCCTTGCTACCTGGCCCATGACCCCACCCCACAAGTTTGCTGACGAGGGGTATGCTGGGAAATCAAGAAAGGAAAACAAATTCCGTTCCAAGGAGAAGCCCTTCACAAACTGAAGGTACCACACAGCCCAGCTTATGGGCAAACCCCTGCTGCTTGACTTCTAGGAGGGGCGTGGCCAACCTTAGGACTGCAGCTCCCCTCAACTACTGACTCTCTAGCTGTGAGCCCTAACACTGCCCACAATGTACTGGAGAATGGCCAAGTCCTCTCAGCTGAATCACTTCTCCACTCCAAGAAGAGGCTTCACATGGAAGAAATCTCCTGAATTCACTACAACTTTCCAGTGCAGGCCCCATACCACATTGTCCGTGATGTGAAACTCTTTAGCCTCGCTGACCTTCCAAATGATACCCCTGCTTCTTTGCTCATGATCTTCAACCCAACCAGTAAATCCAGGCTGAATTGTTCAGTTGACTTACTGTCATAAAAAGCCACTTCCCCCAGAGAATTCATTAAACTCGAGTGGCAAAAGCTGATTAAAAGACAGCATGCTGTGAGGCTTCTGGGTCTGAGCAGAAAAGCCAGCAGCTAAGAATTACTAAGCAGAGCGGAGCAGACCCCTCTGGTCACAGTCCAGGCCTGTCTGGTCGTTGTGCTTGCTTGGGCTGAATTGGGTGTTTATGGGAAATGACTGGCCGATTTTATCTAGGAGTCTGTTGGCAAAGAAAGGTCCCCTCGGGTGATCCAAGCTGGGGAGCACACCAGAGAAAAGTTGGAATGTTGCGATGGGACAATCTAAGCTGTTAACATTTGTCTCTGCCTAAAGGGTCTGAGTGGCAGGAAGCTGTGCTGGGACATTATACACCCTCTGGGTGGCCAAACCCCCCAAACCTCCCCACACCCCCCCAATCAATTCAACAGGTGGGTGGGAGGTCTGAGGGTGGTGGGATGGTGGAAGTAGTGTGGCAGTTACATAGATCAGGAGAACAGAACACAGTCATATGGATAGGGTTGACTGACCTGCAGAGATATCAGGTATTTCAATGGGAGGAACAGACAGTCTTAACAGTCTTAACAAACAACTACTATATATCCGTAGGGGAAGAAAGGAATTTGACCCTTATCTCATGCCATACACAGAAATTATCTCAAGATGGATCCTAGCCCTACAAAAAACTTACAGAAGCTGTCCCGAGAGGAATGGGAATTTGATTAAAGGGAGGGTTTTGCCCCTGCAGTTGAGTGACACGCAGCAGTCTGCAGGAGGTACAAACAAGAGTCACCGAAGCCAAAGAGGCCCTGAGTGGTGCCTAGACTGTGTGTGAGTGCAGGCATCTTTAGAGCTGTAAGTCTGCTGTCAGCAGAGTGCACGGTAACTGCCCCAGGGACAGTCGTTGGGGCCAGAGAATGTCATCTCAGGGCTACTGGGAGGAAAGGAAGAACATGGTTTTCCAGTCAAGAAGGTGTCCCCAGCCCCACCTCCACTTCAGGCTGGACATTCCCCGGTGGGAGGACATCACTGCAAATGTCCAGTGAGTCCCTCTGAGCTAACGTACCCCCCATGGATCCCTCCCTGCTCCCCTATCTTTCAGGCCCCTTTGAGCCAATTCAGTTTATAAAAAAGTCATTTAGAAATTCTCTCTGAGGTGAGTCGATTGCCTGAGCCCACGGGTTCAAGACCTGCCTGGGCAGGCGAGACCTCATCTCTACAAT